GTTCGTAGAAATGGATGCTGATAAACAGTCAAGTAGGATGTAGGCCCCAGGGGTCCATTGTGTATATTATACATGTGATGTTCCTATGAGTATTTTCAGTGGAGAGCGAGGGGCAGAGGCTGGCTGGATAGAAGGGGGCCGGAAGCTGAGCAGTTTCTCAGATTCTTTTCAGAAATGTGTCTGTGCAGGGAGACAGGCTGTGAAAGGGGTGCTTTGTCATGGGGAAGGTTGGAGTGTATTTCATTCTCTCAAGTCAGCTTCAGTAGACGGATCGTGAAGGTACAGGGAACAACTGAGAATGTCAGATTTCTGAGAAGACGGTGGGAAATGAGACCCAACGTGTAGGAGGATTGATCTTTGCCAGAAGGAGGGACCTTGTCTAGTCTGGGAGGGAATGCAGAGAGCAGATCCTGGTGCATTGAGAAGGGATACTGGCTGGAATTTGAAGGTGTTCCCAAATGAAGCCTTCTGTTTCCTCTCTGCAGAAGGAAACAGAGTCACCTACTGAAGGCGGGGTAGGGCGGGGCATGGGGGTGACAAGTAGTATTCTGGGGGAGGGTTGACATGCCAGCTGCACGTGGGGAACACTGGATTCCAGGAACAGGAAGGGACCCCATTTGGTCACTTTAACCAGATGCGCAAAGTTGAGAAGATCTTGATTTACAGAGAACAGATAGATATTGTCATTGAGGGCTGGTATCGTACTGGGAAGGCATGAATATGTGTCAGAGGTTCTCTGGGATACAGTCTTTTGGCAAGAATGTGATGGAAATGGTATATTGCATGATCTGAGCTGGTCGTCGGGACCACATAGGATAAAGTTAGCAAACATCCCGAAAATTGAAGTGTCATTTGGAACAAGTGGGACTGTCCACTTAAGTAGAAAACTGAACTACAGTCTTCGACGAGTTGACTGCATTGGGTTTTATTTGACAAAACGTGTGACCATGGTACGACAGGGTTCGATATTGCAGAGTTTGGGCCCAAGGTTGAGAAAGCTGTATTGGAAGGCAGAGGTTTGTGGTTAGATAATAGAGTGTTTGGATCACTCACTTTTGAGACGGAGCAAGTGGGAGTGATGTGGTCTCTGGGTGACGGAGGCCAAGGTTGCCTGGAGGGGCACATGGTTGGGGATGTGACATCGGTGGATAAACTGAGGTCTGGGAGGGCAGGGCGCTGATGTATTTCGTGCTAATCGAGCTCATTTTCCTGGATGGAATGCACAGTGAGACTAAGAAGATGAGCTTGTTGGGTAAGACTCTGGAGGAGAGAACTTTTGGAATGCAACAGGTTAGGGAAATGAAAAAGCCTAGCAAAGTTAAGGGACCAAAAGAGGTTGGAAACAGGAGTTTATAATCACTCCCATCTGTAAGGTTCTCTTTCTTTTTCCCCCAGGAATACTCTGCATCAATTCATCCATTATTTCGTTAATTCACTACATACATTGGACCTTCTCTATTTGGAAGGTATTACGCTGTGGACCGCAGTTGATTCAACAGTCGATTAGAGTCTCTTCTCAAGTACTCTTGGTCCCGCTGGGATGATGAGATGGGATCACATTGATTGTCACACATCCCATAAACGAGAACCTTGAAAAATGCCCCGGAAATGGAGAGTAGGAAGACACTACATGTGGTAGTGGTTGTAGAAGCCTTGATTAAATAGGAAGAGCGTCTTATGCAGGCTTTCGGGGGTTTATAGCAGCGGTTGGGGGTTGG